AAAAAGAATAAAATTAGAAGATAATGTCGGTTTACCATTAAATTTAATGCCGGGGAAGAGTCGTCCTCGAGATGCTGCTGCTATTGTGCTCGAGTAATTGTGAGAAGACATGATCATTACTCATTGTTATTCTTATTATCACTTTGATGATATCGGCGCAAAAGTCGAATTTTGTGAATTACGGGAATTCATAACTGTTTCGCAAAAACGAGAAAAACGAGAAAACTTTTGACAAAATCGCTTTTTCGGCGGAGGTTCAAAGCGAAATTTTTGATCATATCGCTCGTAATTGATATTTTATTGCCAAGGAATGGGTTTATGTGGATGCTAAACCTGATTTACACAATCTACAGTTATTGTTGAAGACCATTAAAATGGGCTCGTTTGTCATAAAATAATAATTGTAATTAATGTGGAAGTGTCTGGAGGAACAACAACGGTAATTTCGGGTTTATATGTGGCGTGTGACACTAATGACTTCATAATTTTGATGGGTACGAAAAAGATTTATGGTTTAGGATGTTGATTTAGGCGTAAACACTACTAAAAAATAGAATTTAAAAGAGGAGAAATAGAATAAAAAAAATAAGAAATACAAAATTTAGTAAAGACAAGTTAAAAGTTAAAAAACATAGCACATGATATTAAAACAAAAAGAGGAGAAAAACCATCAAAACAAAATTCGAAAAAAAGGAGAACACAAAAAATATATAAAAAAATAATTGGAACTAAAGAAAGAATTAGGTTTACCTAACATGATGAACATTCTAATTCAAATAGTAGAAAACGAGACCTAAAAATAGAAAACAAAAACTACTGTTAAAAACATATAAAAAAAGAAAAGGTTAATGTAAGAATAAAAAATTACGCTAAAACTATAAGAATCAGTCGCAGAGCAACAAACCTTTTAAGATAACAGAACCAACAGAAAATCTAAAATATTTAACGCGTTAAAAAACGGAAAAACTTGAAAAAAATAGCATAAACGCCCTTGACACAGACATTTACAATATGTTTTATTTTTACTTAAAAAAGAAACAGCAAAATGGGAAAAAATATTACCACTTTTTTTTAATTTTTAATAAGAAATGACAATAATAAGATCTATAAGTTATCAATTAGATTTTATTTATTTTTAATAATTTTTTTCAACTTTGATAATTTTTTAAACAATATTTTTTTGTATAAGTAGAACAAAAATTGGGTCTCTATTTAAAATTAGAAAGTTGATTATAGCCCAAATTTTACTGACATTTAGAAAAATTCTAAATTTGAAATCAGGCCATAAAAAAAAATTCTACAGCACTCGTCGTTTTTTAAAAGTCACCCTGTCTACTCGTAGAAATAAATTAAAGTTTACAATAGCTAAGAATTCAAAAAATGACAATGAAAGCTAAAATAGGCAAATTGAAACTCACAAAATGTAACACACAAGGTTAGAAGAAAAAAAGAAGAATAAAAAATAACAAAAAAATATAAAAACAAAATCTGTAAAAGTATCAGAAAAATACAAATACGACCTTTTGAATTTTTGATTAAAAAAATTAAAAACAATTTTTAAGTAAAAAAATAAAGAAAATAAA